TGTCCTCCACGGGCAGGAGGGTGCAGGGCTCTCCCAAAACGCCTCCTCCAACCTTCCACTGGACAGCTGGGAGATGGCCCGGCAGAGCCCTGCCCTCGGAGCATTGCTAAAGGCTTGTTTTCAAAAATCAGTGAGAGTCTTTAAGGCTTCGATCTCCCCCTCTGCTTTCACTGAGAAAATACAAAGAAGCGCTTGTTCAAGCTACACTTCATGAGTACTGTGCACTGCATGTACAATAGCATTGGAAGAGAAATACTGACAATATAGAACAACATCATACAATCACCTGGCATGATCCCTTTTGGCACTTTTCCTTCATTTATCTGATCTCGCTGACTCCAAACGTGGACCTTTCTGCACGGCTTTTCCCGGGCAGAGAGCTCCAGAGGGTCAGAAAGCAACTTTCTGGGAGTCGGTGGCATCTTTGGCAGACACAGTCCTTCTGTCACGGAACCAACCCCAGCCCCTCCGGATTAGACAGCTTCACATTTGGGGAGAACACTCCCACGCCCGTGCTGTCCACAGCCAGCAAGGAATGCCCTCATCCCGGAGGGAAGGAGGCTGAGGGTCACAAAGGACTTGCAGAGAAGTGTGAAGAAATACCTGGTTTAATCTCGTGCTGCACCCACCGTTCAGCAGGAGGTATTTTCCTTCTCAGCTGGCACTGATTTCTGGCAAAGGTAGCGTCATTCCTGSCCTTTACAGGGAAGAGGCTGGGAACTCCTGCTTTTGAGTGTAACTATTTACAATTTCTGTTGTTTTGTGCAAGCTTACACAAACTTTGAGAGTGTTAAATTAATAAAACATTCATCCTGGCTTTGCACCGCCGCACCCGTTCCACGGTGTGACTGTGARTCCACATCCAAAGGTGTCCTTGAACGCAGATGCCGTGCTCTGTGCGTGATGCTCGGGATCTGTTTGGGGTCCCACGAAGCTTTTTGTGGCTGGGGACAAGCTCCAGCCCAGGCACTGCCTCCTGCCCTTCTGCCCAGCTTGGATTTGGAATCAGGAAATTACCGCACAAACCCCTCAATAGTTATAAAACCTTTTAAAAAATAGGTACTTAAGACACTGGCCTGGTGCATTGGGCTGTGAAATCTGTTTTAAGAGGGRAAAGAAAAGATACATTCAGCACTTAAATCTATTTCTTTGTGRTGTGAGCAGCCCAGGCCCAGCTGAACCCCCACAAACACCACGAGAAAAAAAGAAACTGTTCAGGGAAGACTGTTTGGGGCTCCAGGGATGGACCACAGAGAAGAGGGTCTGTAAAAATAATTCTAAATCTAAATGCTCCCATAAAGCACACATTTGAGCTCAAAATGTCGGGAAAAACAGCACAGATTCTGAGTTAAAGCTGTGGCTTTTCCCTGAGCTCCAAGGGCAGACCCAGGCCATCACTACTACTCTCTGTGCAATTCTTCTAGGTCCAGTCAAGGCTCTAATTCCTTAATTTCCTTCTAATTCACAGCTGGAAAGGGGAGCAGGATTTGATTTAGGTTGAGGCTGCAGCGCAGGAGAGGGCCTGGAATGCCAGGAAGGCAGAGCAGGCCAGGTCTCACCAGCCCCAGGCACAACTTGAACCATCCAGTAGTTTGTGTGGCRAGGAGATACAGAGATAGAGATATATATTATGGAATCATTGCTATAAGATTTCTCAAAACAAAAGTGTCAATCTGTTGAAATATAGTATTTAAAATATATAAATTTTACCCAATAAAATATAAGACTTCTTTTTCTCTTGTTTTTCCCCGTTTTTTAAAATCCAGTTCAATTAGAAAAAAAAACTGCTAGGGTCCTTGCAGTGAAAAAGAAAACCAGTTCCTGTTTTCTTTTGGACCGTTTAAGATGGAGGGAGAAAATGTAACCACTTTTAGCAGAGGAAATTGGGCAATTCCATTGTAGTCAGATCAATCTGTTTGTGTGAAGGGCTGCCCTCTCTTCTCACATCCACAGGGAAGTTTGGCCCAGGGCTGTGCCCATCCCAAAAGCAGCCCTGTCCCCTGGCACAGGGTGGGTTAGGATGGGCATCACCACAGCCCTGCMCAGACAAAGGTGCCTGTTTGCTCCGGGGGTCGCAGTGAATACTCTGCAAGGCAGTGCAAGGGTGGAGCTAACAGTGCTTTTTGAGCTGTGTTATCAGAAATAACTGGTGCAATTATTCTATAAGAGTGCCAGACACAGAGAGTGGCCTGCCACGCCCGGCCAGAGGACACAGCTCCAGCGAGCCCAGGCTGTGAGCCAGCTCTGCTCCAGGGCTGTCCTCATGCTGTGAGTG